AGCGGCTTTGGCACAGACAACGATGCACTAATTCATATTCAATTACTGCTTAAATAAGGAACTGCTTACTTTGCAGGTGCTACTGAGTTTTAAAAAAACGTAATCTCTATCTTTTTGTTATCTATGCAACAACCCTCCAATTTCTCTACATGCAGACAGTAAGCAAACAAAAATCAAAAACAATCTGTCCTTTACAACTGTTTTTATGTAACAAAGTACACCAAAGATCTGCACAGTGCAATGACACAAATAAATAGATAAAACTATCAAGTCTTTGAAGACAGATCTCCCAGCTGAGTCTGTTCTATTTTTAGCCTGGTCAGCTGGTAGGCCCTGGGTTCTGTTTGTCCTGGTCGTCTCCTGATTTTTTAGTGATGTCAGGCTTCATGGCAGGGAAAAGCAGCACCTCCTGCAAATTAACAATTGTAAGTATCAATACAAAAGCATTAAACAAAAAAATCTTCACGAAAAGGTCCACAAATTAAATATTAAATTTGTACAAAAATTGAAATATTTAAAGTTTGTATCAGTATCAAGCATTTAAACACAATCAGATGAAAAACTTATCATTCTCCTTAGAACACAGGTCCAGGGTGTAAAAATTATTATGAAGACAGGTGAGTTTTACCTTAAGGTTAATAAGCGAATTACAAAACTTTATCATGGATGGAGGGATAGCGGGGCCCTAATAACTATGACCATACCTGAACATTAATTATCCTCATAGCCTAGTTTGATCTCTGTCCCATTCTATTATAATGGAACATTTCTTACAGGCATTTCTGCCAAAGTTTGAAGCTACATGAAGGAGACATTCTAACTTAAATTTCTTTACAACTGAGCTGAAGGAATTGTCTCAAGTTCACAATTTCCTATATGCATCTGGGAGGTCAACATTACCGCTACATTGCCAAAAATTTCCACTCATTACCGCTACATTTTGTCAGATTTTCGACCAATACGTATTATCGCTACATTTTTCCGGCAAGAAACAACTCATTACAGCTACATACTGAATCAGCCAAAAACAACTCATTACCGCTACATATCAATTTAGTCAGGTATAGTTCGGTTTACATGAGTTTCTATGAATCAACAGAATTCACTCACTATCTAATCAGAATGAGTACACATATACATGTATATAAATAACTCTGCAGTCGAAATTTAATTATTTAGCGTCATTGGCCACCATTGAGAAGTTTGTTACAAATCGAGGAATGCCTGCTTACTTATATAATACGATTTTTTTTATAAATTTAGAAAAAAATAAGACTTTCAAAAACTCAAAATTGTGGAGTTGCGTTGAAAAGAGTTGCAAAAGCAGCTGCAAAACAGACCTCGACGAATTATTTGTTGATTTTAATTTTAAAAAATCCATCCTGTTCAAAGTCCTACTTTCACCTCCCCGTGGTGAGCAGGAGGAACGGGTCTTATGCATGTACATGTATAGGTTGTACTGTACACCCATAAGTGGCTGGCTAAAGAAAGAGCAATGTAGCGGTAATGTATACTTTTTTATGTAGGGGTAACGTAAGGTTTTTTGTAGCGGTAATGACTATGTAGCGGTAATGAAAATTTTGAAAATGTAGCGGTAATGATACGCACCCATGCATCTCTAATATACCTTTATGCTGTTAACACATCTTTAGGCAGTATTACACCTTTATGATGTAATGCACCTTTATGCTGAAATATATACTTTTCTGCTGATATATACCTTTATGCTGAAATATTCCTTTATGCTGTAATGCACTTTTATGCCATTAATACACCTTTAGGTTTTTTTGAATGTACCTTTATGCTGTAAGAATCGGTGAGGAACATGGTCAGTCTGTCTATCCCCATCCCCATCCTGCTGTGGGGGACAGACCATCTCCCAGTGACGTACAGAAGTTATCATCTACAAACATTGCTTCATCATCTCCTGCTGCTTTGTCCTGAAACACCACACACATTATTGTAAATTTGTAAGGAGCAATATCTTGTATATAGAATTTACAAAAGGGGGTGAGAACCTTGTAAGTTTTTAGAACTTGTGTTCAAACCATTTGTACATTATTTATACAATAAAATATGTACAAACCAAACCAAAAGTATTAACAAATGTAGGAACTGACTAATGTTATACTGTTATGTGGTTTTCCCCTTGTTTTTGTACATCTGAACCCATGAAAATAATGGTTTTAGAACTGTGTACTGAGTACAAGATAGCAGTGTAAAGAGGATCCTTAAGGGTAAATGTGACAAAGATTTTGTAAACGAGTCCACCACCTAAAACCTATGTACCAAGGATTCATTACTTATTAAACTGAGAATACTTTGACACAATGATGCAATACACTTTAATATTACTGTAACTATCTATAATGCACATCTATATTTCAAAATTTCACACCTTTGCCTGTTGTTCAAATCTCTCCCGCTGAACTACTGGGTCATTTAACTCAGTGTAGGCATTACAAATCTCCTTCTTACACACAAACAGCTCAAATCTCTCTGTCAATCCTGGTATAGATCTATGCCTAGAAACATGACAAAATAACAAATATAATCAAATCAGATACAGTTTTCTTTTTTCATAAGTGTAAAATATTCTGTATAACTGCTAACAGATTGTTAAATCTTTCTAATCCATAGACTCACCATTTTGCCAGGGGACTCATGACTTGGGGATGATCAATAATGTATGTGGGGTTTACACATTCTTCTTCAATGAATTCTCCTACAAGCTTCAAAAGTTTTCAAAAGGATTAGTGTATTATTTATCCTTAATGTAATACATGTACAGTATATAAACATATTTGTCCATGCTGTAGTCCAAGTGGTGCATATGCCAACTTATACCCTGTTCACACAACGAGTTTAATTCGCAGTAAATTAATGCGAAGTAAATTGCGTTCAAACGACAGCTAATGCCAAGTAAACTAATGCAAATTAAAATTTTTCTTCTACAGTCAGGCGTCAGTAAGTCTATTGTGACGTCATTTGTAAATCACGTCATGTATGCAGAGCCATCCTTTGATACATCATGTAGTGGCTACAGGTATTCATTGATTTTAGTGATTAGCATACTTTCCCTCAATTTTTGAACCAAATATAGCACAAATACCTATATATAACCACCAACACGTGTCCTGTGACTTAATTCTGGCCTCATGCATGCGTCAAAATTTAATTCGAATTAGCTTCGCTTAGCGTTCACACGGAGCTAATGCGAAGTAAACTAATGCGAATTAAATTAATTCGAATTAAACTAATTCGCATTAAATTCTCCGTGTGAACGCTAGTGAAGCTAATTCACAGTAACTTTACGTTTAATTCGAATTAAACTGTCCGTGTGAACAGGGCATAACATTGGTAAATGTGGCATAAAAATAACAAGAGGCCCACGGGCCTTATAGGTCACCTGAGTATCATGTAACAACTTTCCAACAATTGAATTTAGTTTGTGTTTTAAACCAGAGGCCATGAAAATCACGATTTTGAAAGAGGCACTATTGCTTATCATAATTATACACTTAGCAATGCTTACTAGATAGTCACTTAACACCCATAAGTAGATCAGAGTAACTAAGAGAAAAATGCACTTCCATTCTAAACCATGCAATTGTGCACCCCACCCCACAGGAACCACAGACCCTGGGGCCACATATTTCAAAATTTTATCATCATAAATGTTATTTCATCAAATATGGTTGATTAATACTAATGAGTAGATTTCAAAGCATTCATTTATTTTCAGACTATCCCCCCCCCCCCCCCCCCCCCCCCCCCCTGACCCAGGGGACATAAAAAATAACCATTTTGCTAGATGCACCTTTCCTTATCATAAATATATATATATACTTAGATCATTGGCATAATACCCAAGAGCAAAGGAAAAGATTTTCAAAGAATTAATGTAATGTAGAGCCCTCCTCTCCTTACACCAAATAGCTAAACCCCTGACATAGAGGCCATGAAATTAACATATTTGGAAGAGGCACTATTGCTCATTATAACTATGTACTTAGTTAGTTTATTTAATACACAGGGTCAGAGGAGAAATTTTTTTTAAAAATAATGCATTTTCACTGAATAATCTATATAGCCCCACCCTAGCACTAGAACCCCTGACCCTGGGGCCAAGAAATTCACAAATTTGGAAGAGACACTCTTGCTCATCATAACTATGTACTTAGTTAGTTTATTTAATATCCAGGAGCAGAGAAGAAGATTTTCAGAGATTTAATGCATTTTCACTATATAATCAATAGAGCCCCACCCTAACACCAGGACCTCTGACCCTGGGGCCATGAATTCACAAATTTGAAAGAGGCACTCTTGTTCATCATAACTATGTACTTAATAGTTAGTTTATATAATACTCAGAGATTCAATGCATTTTCACTATATAATCAATAGAGCCCCGCCCTAACACCAGAACCCCTGACTCTGGGGCCATGAAATTCACATATTTGAAAGAGGCACTCTTGCTCATCATAACTATGTACTTAGCTAGTTTATTTAATACCCCAGAGCAGAGAAGAAGATTTTCAGAGATTCAATGCATTTTCACTATATAATCAATAGAGCCCCGCCCTAACACTAGAACCCCTGACCCTGGGGCCATGAAATTCACAAATTTGAAAGAGGCACTCTTGTTCATCATAACTATGTACTTAATAGTTAGTTTATATAATACTCCAGAGCAGAGAAGAAGATTTTCAGAGATTCAATGCATTTTCACTATATAATCAATAGAGCCCCGCCCTAACACCAGAACCCCTGACTCTGGGGCCATGAAATTCACATATTTGAAAGAGGCACTCTTGCTCATCATAACTATGTACTTAGCTAGTTTATTTAATACCCCAGAGCAGAGAAGAAGATTTTCATAGATTCAATGCATTTTCACTATATAATCAATAGAGCCCCGCCCTAACACCAGAACCCCTGACCCTGGGGCCAAGAAATTCACAATTTTGGAAGAGGCATTCTTTCTCATCATAACTATGTACTTAGTTAGTTTATTTAATACCCAGGAGCAGAGAAGAAGATTTTTAAAGAAATAATGCATTTTCACTATATAACCTATTTAGCCCCGCCCTAGCACTAGAACCCCTGACCCTGGGGCCATGAATTTCACAATTTTGGTAGAAGACTCAATGCTCATTACATTCATGTCAACAGTTAGCCTGCTTGATGTCCAGGAGTAAAGAAGAAGATTTTTAAAGATTGCACTAATTTTAGTGATTTTGGCCCCACCCCTCAGGCCCCAGGGGGGCGGGGACAATGAAATTCACAATTTTCTTTCCCCTTTATCCATAGATGCTGTATACCAAATTTGGTTGAAATTGGTTCAGTGGTTTCAGAGAAGAAGCTGAAAATGTTCAAATGTTAACACACGATACACGACAGACGACGACGGACGAAAACGGATAGCAATAGGTCACCTGAGTGACTCAGGTGACCTAAAAACTGGAAACATTTATGAAATAGAGAATTGTACCATTTAACAGTAATAGTTACGGAATGTATCTAAGGGTTCAAAAACCTTTAAAGATTCTGTACAGTTTTGAACTCTGCAAATTATAAACGATACAACATAAAACATAATTGTAGTAGTGAAGCTTCAGAAAAGTAAGTTGTAATCATTACAGTCAGGCCCATATCCTTAATCATCATCAGCTACACATACCAATACTTTCAGAAATCTTTAGTTTTCGAAAGCCAGTTTCATTTGAGATTGTCAAAATATTTCAAGTTAAAACATCCTACCATGATAGAAGGCCTGAGTTTTCTTTTTACTGTCTTGTTAAAAAAATTGCTCAGTATACATGTAAACTCAGAGAATGGTGATACACATTTGACCAAAAGCTCTTCTGATGTAGAGCAAGCAGAACTGACATCTTAAAACTAAAGAAATGCTTCAAACATTTTTCAAAAATTTGTGTACCTAAAACCTCTATGTGACAGAGTATTTATATTGTAATGAATATGAATTTACTTTGTTTCTTATTAATAATTAACATTACCTTGTCCAGGAGTCGAGCCGCTGTCCTGGGAGGCTTACATTCCACCTCATGCT